CTAATCAGAAGTCTAATGCATTATACCTCTTTAAGCTCGCTTATGCGGAGATGCCCAAAAATGTTTTGATGTTATCTTGCTGCATCAGGATTATGGCTGTGAAAATCAACTCTGGATTTATTATGGATTCATGCTATCCCTATCCCACAATTATCACCAAATTTTATTTTTCTTCCTCTTTTTCCTTTTTCTGTTTTCTTTCTATTACAGGGTGGGGGTTGGCTCTTTATTTTAGGCAGGGGAGAAAAGTAATTGAAATAACAAATGCATAAAATTAACCTGAACTCTTAAAACTCTGTCACCATGGAGACCAGAACATGAACTATCTCCAAGGGAACTCAAATAATTTTTTTTTTTTTTTGCTTTAAATGATCATCACTTATTACTGAATGTTGATTTGGCCAAGGAAGGGAAGAGTAAAAATAAATAAGTAAATAAATAACTAGCCTCACGCCAGACAATTTATTAAAGACAAGTATAGTTGTTCTGGTTCTTCGTATTGCATTCTTCCTGTGAGTGGGAAGATATCCCAAGACAAAATTTTTCCTCAATTCAGAATTTCTGAAGAAATCATCTGATGATATAGCTCCATAAATACTACAGAAATGACTAGAGAAGAGTAATCTCTAGAAAAGTCTTCTCTGACTCAGAAGCATCAAGGTGAGATGCAGGTGATATGGCTCTCTATCTATCACTCCAGCTGCAAGGAAGAGATGGCTCCTAGATAATGAATGTCTCATCCCAGTAATACCTCTAACAACCATTCCGGGTATATCACTTTATCACGTCCATTATACACAATCATTTTAAATATGTGTAGTGAAGTCAAGCAGACTTGTATTACATGCCACATAAACAGAAAACGGGAATCACCCAAAAGTTTAAACTAGGTAAGTCAAAATTTCTTCCAAACACGAATTCTATTTTGCAAACCCATGGATATAGTCATTTAATCAAATACTCAGTTGAAAGGCTACTCAAATGGTGTCTTATAAGTAGTAAGTGCTAACCTTTAATAAAAGCATAAAAATCAATAAAAGCTTTAATATGTACTAAAATAAGTCAGTAGAAACCAAACAAATATGACCAGAATGCAAAAAAACAAAATGGTCAATGACATCATTTGTCTGGAAGTTTATACAATTTGAACTTTATGCAGTTTTTTCTTGTTTTGTTTTGTTTTTAGGACAGATCTTGGTAACTGGTTGGATATGGAATAAAAAAAGAGCACCCGCAGTATATCCCGCTCAGAAATATGGGGTTTGTTTCCTGTGAGCCATTTTCATAGACCAATCAAAATATTACCTGGTATGATGTGTGTTTCTATTTAAAGACACCTTATTCAATATATATTGTTGATTCATTAACATCAAACTTACAGCCGACAGCACTATAACTCATGCCTGAATGACGCTTATGTAACACATAATTTTCTCCACATCACACACTTCTTGAACTTAGGAACACTAGATAGCACATGAGCACTATACTTCAGGACCGTTTTAAAAAGAAATCACCTTCAAAAAGCACAAAGATGCAAAAAAACAGTGGCACTAAATAGACTGCTAAAAGAATACCTGCTCCCATATGAGTGCTAAAAGAAGAAGGCAGAATGTCACTTTGTCTGACCTCAACTGGGAATGTGTGTAGACAGTAACTCAAAATGTTTGCCTCTCTGCATATGCCCATAAGTGACCATGAAAGCACCTCGACCATTGATTTGAGGTTACAAATAAATTTTAGCAAGTAGACAAATTTGCAAATACAAAACCTACAAATAATGAGGATCAACTGTATTTGCCAACTATAGAGAACTACTTCTATTTCCCTATGCTGCTGCTTGCTAATCCACTGCATTTACCTGTTTTCTTTTATTTACCTATGAAGCTCCTATTCTTTTTTTTTAATATATTTTTTATTGATTAAGATATTACATGTGTCTTTATCCCCACGTTACCCCCTACCGCCCCCCCCTCATGCCCTCACCCCCCGCGCCCCCCTTGTCCATGACCATTGGTTAGGCCTATATGCTTGCATATAAGTACTTTGGTTGATCTTTCCTCCTTACCCCCACCCTCCCCTACCTTCCCTCCAAGGCCCAACAGTCTAATCAATGCCTCTCTGTCTCTGGATCAGTCCTTGTTCATCAGTTTATTTTGTTCATTATATTCCACAAATGAGTGAGATCATGTGGTATTTATCCGCTCTCCAGTTCCATCCATGCTGTGGCAAATGGTAAGAGTTCCTTTTTCTTCTTCCTCTTCTTTTTTTTTTTTATTATTATTATTTTATTTTTTATATATATTTTATTGATTTTTTACAGAGAGGAAGGGAGAGAGATAGAAAGTTAGAAACATCAATGCGAGAGAAACATCGATCAGCTGCCTCCTGCACATCCCCCATTGGGGAAGTGCCTGCAACCCAGATACATGCCCTTGACCGGAATCGAACCTGGGACCTTTCAGTCCGCAGGCCGATGCTCTATCCGCTGAGCCAAACCGGCTTTGGCCTATTCTTCTTTCTAAACCCTGCTCAGGAAATCACCCCCTTTCCCCCCCCCCCCCCCCCCCCGCCAGCACACACACACTAACTTTCCCTTCCTGTTCCCTTTGCCTCTTATATTCATCTCTATTTTGCACAAATAAGATAGACATTTTCTTTTACTGGCCTATGAACTTCCTTTAGGTCAATGAAATATCCTATGTATGTATATACCAGTTACTGTGCTTACTATGTGGCAGGCTATATGTTAAAAAGGAGCTTCACATACAACACCGTGTTTAATCTTACTAGAATCCTAACATGCCCATTTCACAGTTGCAGAAACAGAGGCCCAGAGTATCACTTGCCATATCACAAGCTGCAAAGTTGGTGTTCAACCTAGAGCCCACACTTTTAACCATTGTTATCCTAAATAAATAGTATTACTAGATACCACATATTATTGACTGCTTACTATGTGCCAGGCATGGTGCTAAATGCTTTATACAAATTATCTCATTGAATCTCCTTATTCATCTCTGCATCTCCAATATGTAGCTGTTAATTGGACTGAATTTATTTCTTCCTGCTCCCAAACCGTCTTTCTAAAATCAACAGCATGAGAAGTCTCTCTACATTTCCAGAAGTGGCCAGAATGACTTTCAGTGTTATACTACCCTTATCCACACCAAATTCTTCACCTCCTTCTCATTTCTGTTCTTCTGTAGTTTTGCTATTGATGTCTACGATGTTCACAAGGCAACTCCTCAGAGCAATGGCGAAAAGAGCAAAGCACTATCCACTTGAAAAGATCTTTCTCCGTAACAATAATTTCTAGTAGTGATTTATATCATAACTTAAATCCTTATGGAGTAACAGAATCATGGAAGAGCTAAGTGTTTTTGCTTGAGGGCCATTAGGTAAGCCCTGTATGAGGCTAAAAGAGGATTTTGTTTCCCAGTGTAGGTTTGGATTTCAAATCTATATAAACTTTCATACTGAATTCAAAACAGGCAGATTTTGGAGATGAGACGAAAAAATAAGGCTTTGGAAAAGTAAGGAATAGGTGTGAAAAATTTGCAAGACAGAAGCTACAGGGCTCACATACATTGCATGGATGAATGGGATCAAGGAAGGCTTAGCTTTAGGGCTAAGTCCAAATCATCTTTTTTTTTTTTTTTTTTTTTTTAAATATATTTTATTGATTTTTTACAGAGAGGAAGGGAGAAGAGAGATAGAGAGTTAGAAACATCGATGAGAGAGAAACATCGATCAGCTGCCTCCTGCACATCTCCCACTGGGGATGTGCCCGCAACCCAGGTACATGCCCTTGACCGGAATCGAACCTGGGACCCTTCAGTCCACAGGCCGACGCTCTATCCACTGAGCCAAACCGGTTTCGGCAAGTCCAAATCATCTTTAAATGGCAAAAGTATAAAGAAGATGACTTCACTTTCTCTTTTTGTCTCCCCCAGAGAATTCCAAATACAGAATCCTAATTGCCCTAAAAGTCCCCATTTCTTCCCCAGTTATATGTTATGGTTTTGCTATTGGTTACTGCAATAGTTAATAAAACCAGATAATCTCTAAGTGAATTCAAAGCCCAAGGGCTAAGGCAAAGGAAGTAAAGCAAATGCCTTCTGGGACCAGGCAAGAACTTTTATGAGTGCAATTAACAAAGAGAACTCTTATCTTCGGTAGTGGTACATTCATTGTTGCCAGGAAGAATAAAATCCTTTCAACTTTCCAAGAAAAGACATAATCCTGCATTTTTATGTATAACCTCCTGGTTTTAAATGTGGGCAATTATTTTAAAATGAAAACACAGGGCATGCCAAACAAACTGTTGGCCTTTAGTGGGAAATACCAGTTTGCAGTCCCTGGTCTGAAGAATCCTAGGAGCCTAATAGGAGCCTATCACCTAGGCTAGGCCCTGGGTGATATTTAGGGATGTCTTTCAAGTTATTCAGTGTGCCCTACTGCCAAATGACAGTCCTAGAAGCCATGTTCTGAACAAACATCTCTCTCCTGTCCCCTGGCTTCGTCCTAATGCCCTGCTTTTGTGAGCAAGTACTTGTCTCAGAGACCAGAGTTCCAGGCCTCTGCAAACACCCTCCCGTCCATCCTGCACCAGGGTGATCTATGACCTCTGGTGGCAGGGCACGGGCTGCAGCAGGTCTTGGTGTGTGCTGGGGAGCCACTCGTCCAGAGCGCTCCTCTCCTATCTTCTCCTCGGTTCCCAATTTGCATTCCTACCCTCCCCATTTCTCCTTTGAAGATGTTTCCCTTGCTTTTCCCTTCTCTCCTCTCCCAGTTCTGTCCCATCCTTTTCTTTCCCACCTCTTCATTCTCTCCCCTTCTTTCTCTGTTGTTCCCTTCCTCTGTTCTCATCCTCTTCTGTTTATTCTATCCTCTCCACCCTTGTCCTCGCTCTATTACTCTCCTTCCTTTCCCCATCTCTTCCGCGCTTCTCCCTCTCCCAGACCCAGAGAAAGGGGAGCTTGGGGGAGCCCGCTCACCAGGAATACACCAACACCGGATTCGAGTATTTTTTGTGACGGGAGCGGAGGGTCAGGGAGCCCTTGCGCTCCAGCACGTCGGGGGGTCCGATCTCAAACTGGTACCCCCTAGTGCTGCACAAGTCCTGGCGGGAGCTGCCTAAGTTCTCCATGACCGCCCTCGCGGCGCAGACCTCAGATTTCCCTCTGCGCTGGTTTGGGCCCCGAGCCAACTACTCCCAAGATTCGGCGTCTCTCCACTCCTAAGCAACCTGGGGCGGGGTCAATGGAGGGAGGGCGCCCTCAAACGTAATAACCCAGGTTTCCTAGACAGTGTTGCTGCCGAGTTAAAGGAAACTACATTTCCCAGAATGGAACGAGGGGGCGTCCGGGCTTCATAGAAAAAGAAGGCTCTGCATCTTGGGACTTGTAGTTTCGCCCGCCCAGCAGCCTAATCTCCGAGTGGCGGGGCGGAGTTTTAGGGGGACCGTCTAGGTCAGTCGAGGGCTGATGGGACCTGACCCCGGAGAGGGGTCTGTTCCCGCCATCCTTGCATAAATTCTTTTTACCATCCATCATCTGTTGCCACCATACTTTCTGCTTACAAGTTTGACTAAAAGGGAGCAAGACAACACCCCTCAAACCCTAAAATACGTCATTTCTATAAAGATTTTTCTAACTGAGAAAGAGGAGGAATGGAATCATTCAGCTAAAAAGTCTGAGATGAAATGACCTGGCTGGTTCCAATTTCAGCTGCTTTCAATACTTTCTGAACACGAGTTTCTTCCTTTGGAAAAAACCAAAACAAACAAACAAAAACACGAAGGAAGGTTTGGGACTGAAAAGGGGGCGGCATGAACGCGAGAATCTGAGGTCTCTTCAGATTCTTAAGTACAGTTTAGGACTCCAGTACATTCAGCTTCCTGAGACTTACCAAGTTCTTATCATTTAAAACATGATATTTTGTGACAATCCAAATTCATCACATTATTGTATTGTGAGTTATATGCAAGGAGATTTCAAAATAATTATCTATGGCATTGCTTTCAAGAAATCAATGAATAGCTGTATTATAGAAGGGAAGTGCTTATTTCATTTTTTCACTTTCCAAGTAAAAAATATTTAACACATCAGAATTCTCTTCCCAAGCCTCAGCTGAATACTTTAAGGGCATTAACGGACTAAATCAGGGCCCTCCCTCTTACCTGGAACAGTGCTTTTAGTACATGGCATCATTTCACAGTGTTGAGTGAGTGAGTGAAAATTATGTTTGATTGTGTTATATTTACCTGGGCTTTCAGAAATTTCATAAGTGTCTTACTTTATGAAGACCACATATACACAAAAATTCAAATTTAAAAGGAGACAAATTAAGAGATTTCACATTACAAATAGGTTCTCTAGTTTGCAAAAGATTTGTTATAGCACTCCTATAAATAGTGAGGTGCCTTTCTGGATGAGTTTTCATAAATTTGATTACACATAACTATTAAATGCTTTTCTGTGGCCTGTGATCGCTCCTTGTGGACCCCTGTGGTACCTAAGACCATATTTTACAGACAGCCACAGTTAAGCCATGCAATTTGAAACCAATCCAGCTAAGTGCTAGTAGATTACTGACTGCTATTTGAGTTCTTCTTGAAGTAATGGGAGGAAAATAGAAGTTAATTTTAAAAGGGTAAATAAGACCTGTGTTAAGCTCAGTGCTTTACAAATCATAGCATATAGCCATTGCTCCAAATATGACCACCATTGCTACCATCTGCTTGTGTGGTTCTTTTACTCATGCTTAAAATGGTAGCAACATAATAAACGTGCAACCAAGATTTCAGGTTTGTGCTGCCAATCTGAGGGAGAGACAGAGCTTCCTGAAGCTCAGACCTCTTTCTCTGCTGCACAGGTGCTGCAGAAATTTCAAAGCATTTCAACACACTCACTGGCAGTAAGTTAACAAAACAAGCAAAAGGTAGCTTGTTATTTTAGAGTTCCTTAAGCTAAGATGACAGTCTATTTGAGTTTACAAATACGCTTTTTTGTTATACTATTCTTTTTTCTTCTTTATAACTTTACTAGAGGCCCAGTGCATAAATTCATGCATGGGTGAGGTCTGGCCGACTGCCCTGATGGAGGCCATTGGGCCAGGCTGGTGTGGGGGGAGGGAATGTGGGAGGTTGGCTGACCCCACCCCCCGAAGCGGTGGGTGGCTGGGGCTAGGGCTGGTGGGGGGGGGGGCGGGGGGGGGCGGCACCAGGAGATCAGTCCACTGACTCTACTCCCGATCAGGGTGCTGGGGGGGGGGGATTGCGGGGGGGGGGGGCAATCGGGGGCCGGCCCAGTCCGGGGAAGGAGCCACAGGAGGTTTGGGGGCCGATCAGGGCCCTGATCAGGCTGGTTGGCCTCTGCAGTGCATGTCATTGCAACCGGTCGTTCTGGTTGTTCCAGTTGTTCCATTGGTCCAGTTGCTTGGATTTTATATATGTAGATAAGCTTTATTGTCTTGTGTATCTACTAAATCCTTTCAACATCCTCATGTTGGGATATAGGAGATTAAATCTTACATTCTCAAATTCTTTGCTTTTCATTCTCTTTGTATACACCAGTACATTCTGTGGAATTTTTGGTTTGTTTAATCCTTACTGATAAAATAGGAATAAAACAGTATTTATTGCAGGGGAGTTTTGTAACAATTACATAAGATAATAACTACATTGAAAGTGGGTGGAATATTGCCTAATAAATGTTCAGCCCTCAATTAAATTTCAACTACTATGACTATTATTACATCCTAACTTTGTTCTTATCATTTGGAAAAAGCGCCCCAACATGTGAGTGTTTTGGGGGTAAAATTTCCTTAGTCACTGTTTTTCAAGCTTTGCCTGTTCACAAGGTCTTTTTAATGACTATCTTTTTATCATATTCTAATATGAAGCTTAATAATCTGAATCAGAAAAACACTGGCAAGATGTCTATACATGCTACCAGTGATAACAATGGTTTTGTATTCATATACTATCTTTTCACTTCAAAACCTTTAATAAGCTTTATGCTTTATAAATGTGAAATGACTGATCCTCAGCACACTTGACTTATTCCTATTTTCCTCAAACTTCATCAAACCAATGAAGTAGGGCTTAAGCAATGCCTTCTATTTATACTAATATCTTTTCAGAATAATAGCCTTGGGGTAAGAAAATTACAACCCTGGTGGCTCAAACAGGACTTTTTTGTAGGATAAGTACAGGCAAACCAATTCAAGAAGTGGGAATCTCATCACCTGAGCCTAGTCTAATTTGTTTCTGGATTAGCATGATCAGATCCTTAAAGAGGTTGCCCAGTAGACCAGAGTAGGACAGCAAACCTAAAATAACCTCAGGGGCAATCCTCTTCATCTTTTTTCCCTTCCAGTTTTAACAATCAATCTGCTCAATTCCCATAAAACCCCCTGCTCAGTACCTTCCAAAGTCAACACCAGCATATTCTCCCATTTCTTCACTCTACTAAATGTCATTCATATAAGCTGAGAGCCAAAATTTTTAATTACGTGAGAAAATTAATTTGTATTATTTTTGAATAAAGTTTAAATATATTAAAAGGTTGTATTTAAAATTTTAAATATATTGCCGTAACCGGTTTGGCTCAGTGGATAGAGCACAGGCCTGTGGACCAAAAGGTCCCAGGTTCGATTCCGGTCAAGGGCATGTACCTTGGTTGCGGGCACATCCCCAGTGGGAGGTGTGCCGGAGGCGGCTGATCGATGTTTCTCTCTCATCGATGTTTCTAACTCTCTATCTCTCTCCCTTCCTCTCTGTAAAAAATCAATAAAAATATAAAAAAATTTAAATATATTAATTTCAGAGAGGAAGGGAGAGAAAAAAATAGAAAATCAATGGTGAGAGAAAATCTTTGATTGGTTGCCTCCTGCACGCCCCCTACTGGGGATTGAGCCTGCAACACAGGCATGTGCCCTGACCGGGAATCAAACCCTGACCTTCTGGTTCATAGGTTGACTCTCAACCACTGAACCACACCATCCTGGCTATTTAAATTTAAAACTAAGTATTTTCATCTTAATCACAGATTGCATAGTATATATCTTTTTAGTTCTCCAGGAGTAGGGTCCTCCTGTTATCTACTACGCATACACCTAGGATTCAATTTTGAATATTTTATATTAAAAAGTTGGGAGTCCACCTGCTATGTCAAAATTAATGAGAAGTGTCCGGTTATCCTTTCCTCTTCCATGTCCTACTTCATTTCTTCTTGTTTCCCCTTCTTTGGTTCCTCCTTTCTTCTCTCTGTTTTCTACTCCTCTTCTTGTTTCTTTGAGATGTGACATGGATTTTGGAATTAGGACCTATTGCTGAAATTCTGGCATAATTCAAAGTTATATGAAAACTATGAAAGAAAAATAATCAGACCTAGAAACCAGAGCCAAAATTTACATGAATAAACTCATATTTAACAACCCAGTAACTAAAAAAAGGAGTTAATTGTTGATGAAAGCTTCAATCTTCTTTCCTTTCCTTTAACTACTCTTAACTACTAACAATCTTTTTCAGAATGATTTTAACCTTGAGTATGATTTCTCTATGCTTGTACTGCGTTAAGCATCTGCCCCCTGGTGGTCAGTGCACATCATAGCGACTGGTCAGACAGGTGGAGGGACATTTAGCATATTAGCATTTTATATATATAGACTAGTAGCCCGGTGCACGAAATTCGTGCACATTGAAAGGGAATTAATTAGAGGAACGTAATTTGGACTCATTATCTAATATCATTAATATGTGAGCGTGAGACAGTCCGCATTTCTGAAATTCAATGACATGAATTTTAGCTATGACGTTGCCAAATAAATGGAATTTACAGATATCATTTAAAAGAGCATTCAGCTTAACATTAAAAACTCTGGCTACCAAGTCAGGTCTGTTTTCAACTTTTTGCCAGCGTTGTAAATGGTTTGCAATATCTGCCCATTTGGGGTTGCATGTCATGGTTATGAATAAATCGGGCTTGCCATACTTCGTTACAATTGCCATAGCATCCTGATATCACGGCTGCGTATTTCTGGGACTACCCTCAGAAGATGATGAAAGTATTATCATTTTACCAATCAGCACATTGTCATTTTCAGATCTAGATTTGAGATAATCCATCAAACCACTATATTTTTCAACTC